AAGAGTGTACTTTTTCTAAAAACAAGTGGCAATTGTCAATCTAAAGAAATGCTTAGTATTGCTTTGTTTTTATTCTTCCTAACCCGTTATATTATTTGCATGATGGATTACAATTTTATAGACTTATTTCCCCAAAAGTCTGACCTCCTTGACCATTTTATTTACCTTTTGCAGACTGGACATTAAAAATTTTAAGACACAAAAGAAGAAAAAAATTTTTAACCTAAACATAATATAATAGGTTTTAATGTTTGGGAAGTCATCAGTTACTGAATTTTACTTTCACCTTTTGCAGAGTCCCTGTAGACAACTATAGAAATTACCTAATACTTGGACATGTCCGGTGATGCCTATTGGAAATAGAGTCTTTCCCCCTTTTCTGCCAAGAGCTGGAGAAAATAGATTTTTGTCATTTTTCCATAAACAATTATCTTGATAATTTCAGCCTGTTTTCAGCTCTAGCCAGAGACTGGAAGCTATTGTGCTTGGTGACAGTCCCCTCTCCTCTGCCACGAGGATTCATTCTTTGCCTTGATCTTCTTGACCTTGCCTTAGCTCTTGACAGTGCTTGTCAATTATGCCCTCCCGTCAGGGAGCCAGATAGACTGTTTAAACCTCTCCAGCTACCCTCCCTCCTAGCTATTACTATTATTCCTTTTAAATTATCCTTTTTATACCCAGTTCTAACTTTAATCTAAAATTTCAGGAACTGGTCATCTCTCTTGAGAAGTTGATGGTCTAGTCCAAGTTCAGTCCTCATCTTCTGGTCTTCTCTTCCGTCCTTTCCCTTAGCTTTAACCTGAGGGCATGTAGATGTTTTTGCCTGCTTGCCAGCCTCCTTCCCTTTTCTCTCTTGGTGTACTTTCTAGCCTTCTAAAGAGTCACTCACCTTTTGTTCATACCTGATATTCTCCTGGTCTCTGTTCCTGTATTAACTATATCTCACATACACTTGTTTACCAGAAAGAGGGGAAGCCCTCCAACCCTCTCATGCTCCTTGCTTAACCTCTTATTTCTATGTGTGCTTTAGCTCTTGGTTTACTCTAATCTCACAACTCTTTTCTGAGTTGTCCCTTTCCTTTGCATATAAATGCTCCTATAATACTTGGTGTAGGCCTCTTATGTAACTTGCCGTCTAGCTCAGCGTCTTCTTCTGCTTTCTCTTGCTGAGCTTTTATTTTACTTACATACATAATCTATATTAAGGACTTAACTTGTTTTAATTCCAAAATAGTATACAAAGCTAGAAAACTTTCTCACACACCAGTTAGCTTCGCTTCTCCTTTGTTTTATTCTTAACTTCTACATTTATTACAGATATGCTTTCTTTTTCTATGGTTTTTCTTTTATAAGAGTAGCTTTATTTCATATCTCAAAGTAAGTATCCTTTCATATTGTCAACGATTACTATCATATGATAATCCAATTTGTTCTTGTAATAATAAACAAGAATATTTTGGTTTCTTTTTGTTTTGACACATACTCTTTAAAAATGTATTGCCTTAATTTTATTGAAATAGTTAAGATGCACTGGGAATGGCATTGCCTTCAATTATTGTCTATTTTATTTTTATACATGAGTCAGATTAGAGGTGTTTGGAAGTCACATGACTAAGCAAAAACTTTTACATTTTGAACGTGTATAACTTTATGATATGTATATTTTACTTATTAAAATGCCATGCTTGTTTTTGTCAATAATACCAGCTGATTTCATTGTGAGGCCAAAGCCATTCTCTAGTATTTAATGAAAATTTGGAAGATGGTCTGTTTTATAATGGTTGGCAAAATAAGATTAATCAGAATTGTATACATTAGCAGTAATTATGCATTTCTTCAAGTTTTCTCAGTAAAAACTTCAATTCCTTAATTTTTTTTTTTTTTTTGCAATGGTAGCAAAGCCTCATAAAATTTTCCAGGGTTAATCTTTTCAAGCATTTTGGCGGCTGAATGAAGAGTTTCTGCAAAATCTCTTTTCACTTTAGAAACTCCTAGTAATTGTGAACATTCAGGGGTTGCAATTGGTTATTTATGATTTAGCTAACAGATTAGAAATATTATTTTCAGTTATGATTTTTAAAAATTATTCTGTAACTACTTTTTCTGCATTTTTTTTACCCCTAATATTTTCAAATTATTATTAGGCCAACTTAAAGACTCTTTGATCAGTTGTATATAACAAAGCACATGAGTTCATTTTAATGTTTTCATAAATAAGATACTGAAAATATGATTAGCCTTGCTACCATCATTCCTTGACTGTAGAGGAGCAGCTGTACTGCTGCATTAAGTTAACATATCATAGAGGTAATATTCTGCAGATGGTGGTGCTGGGAAAATGTCATATCCTCCCACTAATTGTTTGTATGTGTAAGTACATTTCGTGTTACTTGTGTATTTTCATTCACCCTGTGTTTTTGGTGCTTGTTAAAATGTCTGTTCCATTTTTCAGGTTATTCCTTTTAGGTTCAGTTTCTGAATGACAAAGAGACTCCTAGTATTGACTTCAACAAAACTTAAGCACAAGAAGAGAGGGACTCTGCTGCCCGAGGGTATTTTATCACTAGGCTGAACCATCCGACTATCTGAATGGCATCTGGATGCCCCCTCCATAGCTGCTCCCTCCCAAGATGAAAGATTTTCTAGTTCTTTCATTTGAATGAATTATTTAGTAAAACACGGTGAAATAGTACAGGATGTATTTGGTTCCCAGGGCCTGAAACCTGAGCCCTACAGTCCTACTAACTGTAAAGTTGGGTTTTAAGAAAGCCATCCAATTAGACAT